AATCACTTTTTCTTACCTTAATTTCAATTATAATTTTGTTGTCACTTTTGGCTGAGTATTGAATGCAACAAAGTTTGTAATATAATATATATTTGTGTATAATATATAAAAATATTGATTACAAATAGTTAACAAATTAGTTGTAATAATTGTAATAATAGTAATAATAGTAATAATAGTAATAATTAATTAAAAACTCATGAAACAAGTGTTGCGTTTGTGTGGAAAGGCGTGTCATTAGTGAACACAACAATCATAACTCGATTAGTGTATCGATCGCTGCATTCACGACACTCTCTGTCTGTCACTCATGAACGCCATTATTAGTGAACCCTAATATTGTGCTCACATATACCGTTACTAAACCACATATTTCGCACCCCATATGTAGTCAATGTATTTGGTTGCAAATATTTCCCTCTCTTTTATGTACAGTATTTGTGTTGATATGCAAATCGGTATCCCCTGAACCGGATGGAGAGTGGGCTCCACTGCAGTGCTCTTATTATATGTTTACAAACAAGTGATTGAAATCGTTGTGAATTTAATGATTATAAAGTATTTTATGATAAATGAGTGCTTTATTAGCACTTCACTCAAGTGGTCATACGTTGAAAAAGTCTTTTATCTGATTGTCAATTGTTTTGAAGTTTGCGACAGTTTTTCAGATGAAATAACCGACACTTTCGCTGAAATAAAGTTTGAAATTCTCATGAATTGGTGAATGAGTTGTCGATTGCAGTGAATATGAGTTCACGGCTTATATGCCAACAGAATATGGGTTTAGAGATCATTATTAGTGATGAATATTCTGCACATTATATCCAACAAAGTATTACTCCTTTTATGTATACTTTCTATTCATTTATTCTCTAATTAAGACTTACTTTTCTAAATACAAAAGTTTTGGCACAATATTCATGAATATTCGCAAGAATATTCTGTACAATTGTGTACAATAAGCCGGGTCGAATCGAATATCGTATACTTATAATTAAACAACGGTGTTTGAACTAAGGAGCAGTTACAACATGATTAACAAACTAAACTAGGTTGTCACCTTCACAACTGGCGTTGGTAACGTCTGTTTTGGTTTTACACACAAATTGTGGACTTTTTGTCCAAAACTATTCCTCTGAAAGACTTCAATCACTTGAAGAGAGTTAAGTCGAAAGACAACTCTTTTGAAGTAATTGTTTGTTTGAATGATAAGCTAAACAAACCATTACTCGAAGAGATTAACGACTTTCTGTCGCAAAACAATTTACTTCCGGTGAAGACAACGAAACACCGTTTCTTACGCGGCTTCTTAGTCTAAGTTATGCTTAACTCATGTTTCAATACCGGTTAGTCAATAGTAGGTTTGTTTATCAATCAATTGTTAGATAACAATTCGTTAACTCAATAATTAAAATAAATTTGTTTTGTTATTCAAAGTATTGAGAAGTGTTTGAATTCAACACTATTTGACTCAAAGGCCAGACAAACAATATTTGAGTTCATATTCAAAGTGATCGAAAGGAGCGAAACTTGTGTTCAGAAGCATTCAATGGTTACATTGGTTACCGACTCGAGTCACCAAATATTAACTGTCTGTGAATCCCATGTTTTATCGCATCCATTCAAACATTCAGTTCTTGTGGCCATCGATCAGATCTCACGAATGCAAGCAAATGATGGCAAGAATGTGATCAATGATAGCTATTTATGTAATGGTTATGACTTTTATATGAGTGGTGAGCCGTGTATTATGTGTGCCATGGCTTTAGTGCACTCAAGAATTAGGAGATTATTCTTTTTGGAGACAAATACTGATGATATAAACGGATCCGATGATTGCTGTGATAGAGCCATAACTTTGCATAGATTTCATTTACTGCCGAAACTGAATCATCACTTTGAGTGCTGGAAAATATCATTTAAATAATATTACAATTAATTCAAATAAAATTCCATATTTTTATTTAAAATTTGTGTATATTAATTTTAAATCAAATTGCTTAAATTAGATTTCAAATGAATCCAACTTAATATGAAATAATTACCGGTAATTGTATATTTTTGCACAAAAACGGACAATTGAATATATTTCCAAATTGGAAACTCCAATTAATCTCTTAAATGCAAGTAAAATTTTGCTTGATATTAATATTTATATTTTCTAAATGTACATAATTTTGTCAATTTATAAGAGGTATGTTAGTTGTAATGTTTCATGTGAAATATTTTTGATATTTTATGTTTATTTACATTTAATTCACTATATGCGTAAATCAATTGTGTTAATTGTGATGATTTGAATAACAAGTGTATGAATGAGATCACAAACTGGAAGACATAGTTTCACACGGATTGCCATAATTTTAATGATTCCTTAATAAGTTGTTATTACCGTAATATAATTATATAATTATATTGCTATTTCTGTGTTTCTAATTCTTTTAGAATATTCTGTATATAATATATTATATATAATAATTTTTTATGTGTATTAGCTTGGTTAGTTATTAGCTATATCTGTATTAGTATACCCGACTTGATATACCCTAGTCTAAATTTAATATGTTGTTTGTGTTTATACTTACAATAATTGAATATTATAAATAATATAAATTATTTTACAATTAGTCTAATATCCATACAAAAGAATACAAGAAAATAAAAGAAACTGAATTGAAATATCACTTAAATCACTGTTTAAATGGAAGACAATACGAGAGAATGTATCCTAATTATAGTCATATGTATCCTAATTATAGTCATATGTATCCTAATTATAGTCATATTGTATATCAATATAATAGCCGAATAATCCATACATAGAGTCAATAGTTGTCAGACATATTGGAAGACAAAAGAAGGCAGTATTAGCTTAAGAGCCATTGGATTAACATGAGATGTAATGAGACAATTAGCCCATAGTGTCGTAATCGACTCGTCTGACAAACCAAGACCTATATACGGCATACCCGACCACTACTAGAATCGATACCATTATAGTGATACTTCCGACAATAACGGGAACGCTATCGTCCTGT